TGAGACTGCAACTGGCTGGCCCAAAGCACTGTGTCTGCCAGTGTGGGATTACTTCTAAGCTAATAATCTCTCTTGCGTGACAAGGCTTATTTGGGCCTCATGTAGGCATTTAGAGCTGCTCTGTGAACGAAGCAGTTAGTTACACAGTTTTTCATGCCCAAACTAGGATCACAAATACCCAGGCAGTCGGCGCTGACATGGGGTCTTTCCCCTGGGTTTCACTGCATAATGTGGGCTCATTCATAGGGTATTACTGAGGGAGTAATTCAGCCTCAGATTTCCTACATCCTCATCTGCCCTATTTCATAACCGTAGAGAAGCTGCCCATCAAAACAGCTACTGCTCCTACTGTGGCTTAGACAATTCTGCATCTATACACGTTTCTCCAGCACCAGCTGAAAATTGAGGTTTACTGCATGTCTGGGAAGCCTCGTGCAAGGCAGGTCCAGGTTTGGAGCACGGGCTGATGCTCTCCAGCGGTTGGGAAGCGTGGGAAGAACCAGGCGCTAATTAAACCAGTGCTCAGGGGAAGGGGGTTGCAATCCCCAGGGTGACAGGTCAAGGGGGTGGGCAAATACATCTCTCCCAAGAACCCTACAGGGGACAAAGCTTCTCCCCCCCCCCCAAAAAAAAAGACAGACAACAAGAACATTTTGACAAAGAGGGTCAAGCCCAAGCAGTTTTGCTGCTGATCTCGGTGCTAGTGGCACCTGGTCAGCGACACTGCGGGTGACGCAGTTACAGATAGCTTTCTGGACCCATTGCTTTTTGGCGTTGTCCTTGTTAATACTGTGGTGCAGTGACCATTCAGGAATGCATCTTATGGACAGGGCTTAGTTGTTTATCATCAGGAAAGGGCAACTGCATTGCAGGGATGGTTACATTTTGTTCTCCTTCGTCTGTTCATTCATTTTACTGCTGAAGGCTTGCAAAGCACAGAAGCGCAAAGAAAACGCTAGCCACGGCTCACGTGCAGCAAGACAGCAGTCATCAGAGTCTGCACCTACCCATGCTCCAACACCACCGTCCAAAGTGAATAATAATCAAATAACCTGTACCGTGTTATGGAGGGAATGAAAATCCCCCCTCCAAGGATGGCAGAACAACTTATTAAATTCTCTCCAGCAGGACAGAGCTATTGTACTGTCCTATAGATGAAGCAAAGGGCTTTTTTCTTTTTAAGTTATACAGCAGCACTGCCAGAGAGCAGGGAGGCAAGCCAGGGGTCCCAACTGCTGGCGCTCTGCAGACTATCAGACTGCACCATGAGCAGACATTACCAGCTGATACGGGGTTTGGGTTATTTCGTGTGAGGGAAGGGAAACAATAGTAGCCAGTAAATCTCCTGCACAGCGGGATTTAAGTATCCCTAGCTGTATTACTTCCCCAGCGAATAACATTCATTGTTCATCCATTCTTACCATCTCATTGACTTACCTGCCTAATTTATAATATACAAACTCTTAAAGGTATAGATTTTGGCATCTTCCAGAATAGCAGCAATGTGCAGGGGAACCAGAAAATGGCACTGGCAGCCCCCCAAAGCTGGGGACCCTTGCGGCCTACCTCTTCCCAGCAGACACTGGATTTGCCCAGGATGTAACTCAGAGTAGACATATGTCATCCCATCATCAATATTACCCTCGACTGATGCTTTTCTCAGGCTCGATACACTAGAATCTTATAAAAAGAAAAAAAACCCACAACTGATTCCAGTTGAGTCCTATTCTATAGCCTGATATCTTTATCCTCCCTTTAAAAATGCTGACATCTTCCCCTTCCACTTGCCCCACCACCACCGCCGCACCCCCTGAGGATCCTGATGTTGCATTTTCCTCCGAACAAAGGCTTTCTGAAAGCAGGAGGCCCTCCGGCTGCCTACTGCTACCAGCGCTGGCTCTCCCTGCAACCCTGTTCAACTGCACTGTGCTACTACTCTCATTAGCATTAATGTGAAAGTTGTTCTCACCATATAGACTCTGCTTATTATTGGCTTTAACAGAAGGAATTATACACCAAAATAATAATACCCAGGCTGAAATTAAGCTCAGTTATTTTCATGCCATTGCTAACATGTCAAGAGCAGATTTACTAAAACCATGAGTCAACCCCCACCAGAAACTAGAGACACTGCTTGCAAATAAGCAACTTTGGTGTTTATTCCTCCTGCCTTCTCATCTGCTGAGCTGCATTAGGAAAGGGTGCCTTCTGATAAGCAACATGTCAGGCTAATCATCCACAGAGATTTTAAGCTGCATATTTTCTCTCTGGACTAATATAACCCAGATGTGGGAAAGGCATGGTTTTAATCAATCCTTCTATACATCCCATGACACTTGATCACATGTGCACGCGTAGGTATGTGCATCACCCAGTAAAATAACCACGTTGAACACAATTAGTAAGCTGGCTGTCCAATGTGGTTTTGTTTGTGCTCCTTTTATAGGATTTTAGTGCTGCCTCCAAACTAGTTGTGAAAAAAGAAAGTCTCTGCATTTGCAAGTGAAACAAGTAAATACTCTTAATCGTTATAGAGAACTCTTTCCATAGCTACAAAGGTTTTCATAACAGATTGGGCTTGACCCTCAAGTAGTTTCACTGCAGGTAAAAAAGGAAGATTAAAAGCTATATACTGTCTCTATACTGTTATGTAAGAGCTTGGGAAACAGGGAAAACAGCTTTCGCTCCAGCACGCGGATGGCCATGTAAAAGGGACACACCATCAAAGCCCATGCTAGAAGCTTGGGTGTGGCTGTGCTGCTCTACAGCCATCCAAGGTCTTTTTTTGCTGAAGCAAGTCACAGAGCCCTGCACAAACTGCAGGTCGCTTACTAACGCCACACTGAACAGTGCAGGATACAACATAAACAGCTGCTTTCCGTCTCTGGTGACACCTGAGTTCAGATGCTGTTATCGCTGCAGTGAGCAGAAGCAGGTTTGCCTCCAGACCGTACTCCTCCAGTATGGATATTCTCATTATCAAACTCGGATCCAGAGAGCTAAAGAAAACAGCTCAATGCACCATCAGTTCACATGGATTCCCGGCCACGCCAGCGCTTGCTGTATTAGAAACCCCTCCATTTAACAGCCCCAGCCAGACCAAGACGCTCCTCACCCATGAGCATTACTGCTCAGCAATCCGAGGGTGCTCTCGGGTGATTGCTGCCAAGACCTTGCTCTCACAGAGACAGACGCATCTCAACAAGCTCCCCCTTACCTCTTCAACTGCTCCCTTAGCCGAAGGAAGAGAGTCAGGTAACCAGTCCTCCTGGCTGGCATGGCGCAGAGGAGAGCAAACCCACCGCTACCACCTCTGCTCTCCTTCAGAGGAAGCCACCACACCCTCCTCTCCTCACTGGAAAAATGCTAAACAGCAGCAGTTAATGACACCAGAAGCAGCTGCCTCACTTTCTGGTCATCAGCTTGTTAATCACATGAAGAATGGGCAGGAGTTTCAGCCTCGCAAATAAAACATTAAGGTCTTGAAGATGATCAGAAACTGGATCTCATCAATTAATGAAGTAGATCTATTTCTTTCCTTTTCTTTGTCCCCAGAGAGCATTATTTTTCCTTTGACCCTAGCTAGGGGGATTAAAAGATAAAGGAAGAGTATCTGGATTGGAAGGAGGACAATTACAAACAATTAAACTGAGTAAAACACTACCTGTTAGCAGACACTGACCTGCTTTGAGTGCAGGACTGGGGTGATAGCAAGGGGGAAGCACAAAGCAAAGCTCAACACAACTTGGGGAAGACAGAAAAAAGTATTTTCACACCATAGACTCCAATTCTAAATTACATGAGAGGTTTGGTGGGTCTCAAACTGAGACCTAATTAAGCAAGATGTAAAGCAACAAACTTCCTTGCTTTTTTCAGAAAGCTCTGAGAATGGGGACAGGAGGACAGTAGTAAACAGGATTACCCAGAAGTTTGGTTTTCTTGGCTTTTTGTGCAGCAGATTTTCCTTCTCACATTAACTGCCTGCTATTCAGATTCCTTTAAAAAAAATCAGAAGTCCAAAGCCCAATAATTAAATATGATTGATAATGGGCTTCATAGGACTTGCTGCTTCAGTGATGATGTTCAGCTTGCCATACCTACTGTGACAACCGCAGTCAGAGACCTGCTGGCTGGTAGCATGGCTGGAAAACACAGGAACCAGGCAACAGAGTAGATGAGAACGGAAGCACCAAACTACAATGTTCAAAATACACCAGAGCAATGTTTTCCAATGGGAATAGCTTTGTTGTTGCTGTTTAAATGACTCTTATTCTTCTAATTCAGCTTCCTCTTTGAAAGTCCTTCCACAGCTTCTAAGCCTGCCCATGCAGTACCCTGAGCAACCACTGAACTAGCTGGAGCCTTAATATTCCACTGCTAGCCTTCAGAGCCAACACTTCCCCTAAACTACCCCTTTACTTTTCATTTAAAAAAAAAAAAAAGATTCTGAGTGTCGCAGGAAACAGTTCTGTTTCAGCTTGCTTGGTATCCAGTCCAATGGAAAACCTGCCCTGAGACCTCTGGTTATTAACTGAAATCTTAAAATAGCATTACTAGAAATTTTCCCACATATTTCTGTGTTTACTTACCATCGTATTTTCAAAACACCTAACTGCACCACTGTTTTCTTAACACAAGGCAGCCCTAATGCACTTAAGACAATACTGACAGCTGAGAACACAACAGACGTTTGCATCTTAAGTAGAGTGGGTTCCCCTCTGTAGACTACAGCGAAGAGGACTGTTCTTTTATTTACCCCATTTTAATTTCTTTTCAGGATGAGAGAATAGGAAAACAGACAATAATTTCAAATATGTTGGCACTGTCTGCAAAGACTTCTATAAAAGCACAAAAATGAACTTTTTTTTCTTGTTATATTTTGAACAGTAATATAAAAAATATGACGTTGGTTCAAAAGTCAGATAAGGTCTGTGTTGACAACTACAATTCTTTTATTGGACATATTTTACTGAGCATTGAACACTTGTTTATGTAGGCACAGATTTAAGAATAACACCACAAAATCAAAACAATAAAGTGCAGACCTGTACTGAGAAGCAGGCCTGGTAAGTCAGTCTACTCCTACAACTCAGCAAAGAAAAGACAGAAAAGGGGAAAAAACCTGCTGTTATAAGAGAAGTAGTATATTATAAATTACGTCCTGCGGTAACAGAACTATACAACCTTTCCTGAAAGGTCCAGAGCACTGGAAAACCCAGGTCCCCTGTGTACAAGCACACCGTGTTTGTCGCAGGAAATATTTTAAGTTAGACTTTGGCTTACACAAGTGGTTTATTTATAAGAAAACTTAACAAAGGTGTACTGATTAAAACAGTTCTCTTAACATCGTTTCTTTATATATTTCAGAATAAAAAATTATGCATTTAAAAACAGATAACAACCTCCCCCCAACACAATAAGTTTCAGCAAACAGTGACCAAGAAAGAGGGAAAGGGGGAAGCCAGCATGAGTCATGACTTTAAGCGATGGTCTTTGCCAGATCTCATTCCTACTTGCATCAGAATTTTCTCCTTAAGAAGATTCAGGAGATAAAATGCTAAATTCAACATGTCCCTATCTTTCCCCATCTCATAAGGACAGTTTTCTACAGTTCTTAGTAACAGAAAAAAAATATATATTTCCAGAGCTTGCACACATCCGAAAAAAAAAAAGGCAGAAAACGAGAGGGAGAATAAAAACTAATATAAGCTAAAACATTATTTTGTAGTAAACAATAGAATATAACGTGCAATAGTGCAATTTCTCCTTTGCTGCTCCAACAATGAAGTCTTGGTAGATAGTCCACTGCATGTCAACGTACGGCGTCCCACATCTAACTACGTGCTTGTCGGGCACTGCTGGGTTTGCCAGGCTTCGGAGCCGAATCGCTGTGTCCGGGCTCTCCCTTCCCCTTCCCAAGGTGGCGGAGTTTCTGATCCCAGCGCTGCATATTGAAAGGCAAAGAAATTACAAAAGAAAGTACAGAAGAAGATATGTCATATGTAAAACAACTGCATGTGTTTACAAACAGCAGCAAAAAAATAAAAGCTGTCGCTGTTTCCATCACGTTACCCTTCATTGGGCTCAAATGGTGGAATGTGAGGTTATCAGCAAAAGTCACTTTAAAAAGAAAAGCCATTTCCTGGCTTTCTTGTAGCCTCTGTGAATGAAGGGGCTGATACAAGGCATAATGGCTTCAGCAGAAAAGTGTCTCAACTTCTAAATAATAAAATGTAAATGAAACTATCTGTGCAATCTCTGGGGGAAGCAGGATGAACAGTCAAGTGATTTTTATTAATTATTTTTAAAATTATTATTATTTATTTATTTTTCCTTTTCCAGGTAATAGCAACCGCAGTACAAAAAGACATAATAAATATAGTTGGTACAACAGATGATGCTTTTGGAAAAGGAGATTGTGATGAGAAGCGGGTGGCAATGTGGCGTGGTCCTCAGCAGCCCCAGGCTGGGCACAAGGGCAGAGCGCAGTGGGTTGCGGGCCACAAGGACATAAGCGAGAAAATAAGTCAGCTCCCAAAAAAACCCCAACAAATGACACTGTCACCCCAGAACTGGAACTAAGCAGAAGTCAGCCCACAGCAATAACATGGTATTTGCTCTACAGCAAAGGATGTCATCAAGTTCTGTCAAATCAAACAACTTGGAATAAGATCCCCATATCTTTTCACTCATGTAATCTCCGTGGATGTGACAAATGTGCACAGAAAAGCTTGCATTTATAATCAGAACAGTATTTTCCTGCCAGTCACCACTAAGGCTGTTGAAGAAAGTGTTGAGTGGAAGAGGAGGCTGGTTTGCACAGGCACAACCATTATGTCAAATCCATGGCTGAGAAATTGTGTCCAAATAAGAATATTCTGTGTAAAATGACACTCCTAACAACGTTGAAATTCCTGATACTTTGCGGTGCATCAAAACATAAAAAGGCAATCCTTCCAGAACTTGGAAGGCATTAGAATACATTTATATCAGAAAACATTAGAATATATTTTCATATATTGCTTGCATTTGAGCTCGTTGCTTCCAATTCGCTATGACATGACTTCCTTATGATGTACCTCCCTCATCTAAACCAGAAAGGTAAGTTTAAAATAGTCGTTAATCAACACAATTTGGTAAGAGAACATTATTTAAACAACATTAAATCTGGCAAGTATAATTCTGACTTATTCTGGAAAACATCTGTAAAGCCCTCTTTTTTTTTAATTAGTACCACAATCCCAATTAAGCAGGTGTGTGTTGCAGAATGCACAGTTTGCCTACGGAGTTAAAACACTCCTACTGTTTGCCTTTTTGAGACGGAGGTTTTGATTGCTGCTACACTGGTGTACTTTGTATCCCTTTAGTTTATTTGACATACATTTCTAAGTAATATAGCAAATAACACACCAAGTTAATTTTTGATACTTGATATTAATTAACTGGGGTCAGCACATGTATTTTCTTCCCTTATTTTGAAAAGATTAGGTAGATGTTTCATGGTATCTGCAACACTTGACTTTTGGTGAGATATTTTCTTACCTTTACTTTTTTACCGAGACGATCCTTCCATTTCTCGGCTATGGAGCCTTCCACCAAGAGTAACCTACACAACAGAGACTACCAGTTACTCCATCAATAGATGTGCACAAGCTATACAACCCAACACATGCCAGACTAAGATCTCCGTGTCTGCAGAGAGCCTTGTCCCCCCTGAATACCACTAACGAGCCGTACAGAGAGTCACACCACGTTCTCCTTAGCTGATGGCTCTGAAGTTCAGCTTTACAGGCAGGGGAACAAACAACAAAAAATATGCTCCAAGGGTAATGCAGAAAGAGTTACCTGGAGCGCTCCTCGTCTTCGTAGCCCATAATGATGTACTCTTCATTGGTGCTGAGCGGTGGGCACAGGCAGCCGGAGTTCGCATGAAGGTTTACAGTGTCCTTTGGGATGTTCACCAGGGAAGATTTTAGGATCTCCTTTACTTCCACTACCGCAGTGACATCATGACATTTAGTCTTCACCTCCTTCACTTTAGCCCGAATGACTGGGAAAAAGTCACAAAGAGTATAGTTAGCAGCAGCAGATAATGCAGGTCACCCCCAAGCCGTTCTTGGTGACCTCTGGGAGTAGTCTTTTTGCATGGTCCATTATCAAAAGCTTAGCTGAACTCCAGCAATGTCCCTGCCCCCATCTCTTCACTTCATTACTTCATCCTCCTCCGAGAGGGTGCAGGTAGCTCAGTATACCTCCTAATAGTGTGGTTACAAGCAGGAGTTATGCACCAGTTGGATTTGCATCCTATTTAAATTAGGCTTAATTTTTAGCATCCCTTCTTCTTCACCCTTTCCACTTTATATATTTGATTCATTCCTTGTACGCTCTCCTCCTCCCTCAAGCTGTAACTGCTCCCTCTTCGACTACTTGCAGTACAGATGACCGAACTTAATCTGTCACTCTCAACCTTTCACGAAACGTGAATGTGCATTAAAACTTCTCGTATCGCTACCTCTGCTGGATGACAGGCCCTTACTTTTTTTATTCTCTCTCCAGTGACCCAGCACCAATCTGCTCTGCTCTTTATGAAGTCCAAAGGCTCCTGATCTTGACCTGATGACCTGTCTAATTGTTTCCTCCCTCACCCTTTCTTTATGCCTTAAGTTGCACAGGAGGGAAAGTTGCCTTTCAAAGGCAATGCTTTTTGTTTCTCTCATGATGACCAGTGAACTGATACCACATGCAAATGCAAAGCCAATCCAGAGGTCATGCTCTAGAGAATGCCACATCTTCCACAGCTTGCAAACAAGAGTCCCTTTCCATTACAGATAGCAGATTCTCCGGACTCCCAATTTCTTCTAACCTGTGCAAAAAAGGTACTATGGAAGAAAGAAAACCATGGACTTATATATCTCTTCTCTTCACATGCATTGCCCACAATGACAATCAGCCAGCATGCATTGCAGCCACATTAAATACAGCTGCCAACAATTAATAGCTGTTACGCATTTGACATACACGATTTAGCCCAAGTGATCCACTTCCTTAAAACCTCTTAAGATTTCAAAACAAAATCTTGCTTTAGTTTGGGGTTCTTTCAAATGCATTTTGAAACCTCTTTCATTTCAAAAGCTTGAAAAGATAGGCAGTAGCACACTCAGCGACTCTACCACGTGCAGGTGGGGTACCCGCTAGGGAATAGTCACTCTATAAAGATCTCCCAAACAAATCCACCAAAACAACATAAAACCAACTAGTCACCTAAAAAATAACAATGATGTTTGACTGAATACAATTACAATTTTTTAGCTCTTAATACGATTTATTTTTAAAAGAAGCTTATCTGATAATAGTTGTATAAATGCATAATCTTAATAAATATTACACAATTACTACCATTTAAATGAAGTCTTTAAGTTCAGCAAGCCTAAGGCTATTCACATGAGTAATAGGAAAAAGGATGGGCCTAATTGTTCAATTCCTGTGATATGTATTCAGCTTAATTTGCTTAAAACAAACAGTATGAAGACAAGTAGCAGCCTGGACCTCTGATATCCCTGAAGACCAGGACAATCTGGACAAGAGAGGACATAATACGGACTCCGTGCACTTTTCCATGTATTACTGACAGCATAACACAGCTGGCAAGATGCTCATTGCTGGCTTCGATACAGGAAAAGAACTTAGTATGCCTGTTAGGTCCTATGGTGAGTTTGTAGGCATGAAAGTTAGTAAAAACATCCTTTCCTGTGAAAGCAGAGCATGTCGGAGCTGGAAATCAAAGAGGCAGTTCAGGCATAACAGCCCACAACGTCATTTTTGCCACATCACTTTTCACACTAAAGAAGTGCACGAACCTCAAATGCCTGCGCTACACTGAAATAACTCTCAATGTCAACAAAGACACTCTTGTACTAACACATTAAGCTAATCCCCTCCATCCTTCTAATTTGGAAATGTTTCAGGCCACATCTTCCTTCTGTAATAATCTATTGGATTGATCATCAGTAATTGGGCCCATAGGCTTTTTTAATGAAAATTTTTCCCCTTACTTTACCCTTAAAAACACTAGGAGCTGGCCACGCAGCTGTCCTTACCGTAGTTATAATTGTTGCGTAGATAGGTCTTCTGGGTAGCTTTTATAGGTTTGCATTTGCAGCGCTCTAGAAGACAGAAACTTTTGTTTAGAATATGTTCAGTGACAATCTCCCCGAAACCCCAGGCTCATGCCTAACAAAAACTGCACTGAATTGACTTGTTTATTACAGGCAAGTGAATTAGTAAAACCCACAGGGTATTCCTGGTCTGCTCTGCTGGAAGGTGTTATGGAACTGCCCATGAGATCTCAAAGGTTCCTAGAAGAAAACTTGACGTGCTGAAATTTAAAAACCAATCCAAATCAAAAATACTACAACCAACTAACCCCACAACAACAAAGATACAAGGACTTGGAGTCTGAAGTGACAAGATCTTCCATTTTAAGCCAATTCAAGGTTCCATCTTGGTTTCTTCTGTGCTCACAGGTGCTGCGATTCCATATCCTTACAATGCTGTTCTCTCTTCTGTACTACACTTACTGAATGCCTTCCATTCTGCACCTTTAATCATACAGACTGTAATACAGACACAGAAAGAAAATACTGCGACAGGGCACGATTTAGCATTTGATTGGAGACTACACATCTCAGCTCAGTTTAACACATTGGGATATTCTGGCTAGCTGGCATTCACCATAAGGAATATGATTTTTGTGGCTAATTCTCAACGTACAATCCATCTCTGGAACTGCACCATAAGATTTCTTAGAGTGCCACAGCCCCTTTACACCTAAAGGTGTCTAAGAGCTACAGTCAACAGACAAAGCACCTCAGAGGGTGGTGGGACCAAGTGGCATGTAGCTCCCTGAACACTTCTGGGATGGTCCCGACAAAATGAAACTTCAACCATGTTTCTTCAGCAGTGTCTGGCAGGAGGTTTAAGAGAGATTAAGTTTAAGACTAAGATTGAGTTTAAGATTAAGAGGCTGAAGGGCCTCACTTGACTGCTGCAAGTGTTTAGTGTTACCTTTGATCCTGCTCTAGATTCTTCCTCAATTAATAAAGCCAGCCTTGAGCAAATGGCCTTTGACTGAACTGTAGATTAGTCTTTTCCAGACTGGGTTGGTTAGTCGACCCAACAGCTTCACACTGTGCACAGGACTGACCTAGATGGAGATTTTGGAGCACTATGTGGAGAATATTAACCACTGGCACGTTTGCCTTTGATCTTACCAATTCTGTGACAAAACAAACCAAAAAAGGCACTTCAAACATACGGTTTTGGAGCTGCCTGGAAAGGCTACCACCAACCCTTCTGATAAATCTACGCTGTGGATCATCAGACCCAAGTATAATTTAAGCCCATGCCACACATGTGGAATTCAGACACAGGTAATAACAAACATAGGCCACAGAGCCACCCTGCTGTCTGGGTTTGCTGTATAAAATTATGACCCAGAACTTCACGTTTAATTAACACAGGGAAATTATTAGGCCCTATGGCGGCAAGGATGGCCTTCAAAAGACAATACAAATGAGCACTGTCAGAGCAGCATTTCCAGTGGTGCAGCTTCCAGACAGCTGGGAACGACAACAGAGGTAAAAACACTTTCTTCAGTGCCCACGGAGTGCTGGGGCTGAAGCTCCAGACCCATGTGTTCATTAACACCACTGATATTTCACGGCTGGTTGTTCTAATGCAAGTATTTACTTATTTCAAGCTAGTGTGTAAGTGGAGTTTGGTGGAGTCGCATGGTCAAGCCCAGCTGACTGGTATCTGCACCTCCAAGCCTACCACTGTGCCCACTGCAAACAGCAGGTCCCAGTATTACGTATACGTGGTCACCTATTTTGACATTTGACTTGGCATTTAAGTGGAAGGAGACTTAATACAGCCTATTTCTAAACACCATTGTTCTAAAATAACAATGCATATAGCTAGTGACTTAGTTAAATCCAATGTGAAAAGTTTGAAAAAGAACTTTTATTTGCTGTATAAGATTTCTGCATTTAAAAAAAAAGAGATGGCATCATATGGTTATGGACTTCTCAAATCTTTATTTACTTTGTATTGAAAGAATTTTTGTAGTTGAAAATACAAAAAAAATACAGGAAAAAGGAGAACATTTCCAAAAGAAGAGGATATTGTTTCCTTGAATTTCAAACACATCCTCAGGAATCTATATATAGAATCCTACAGACTTCAGCCTTTGTATGAGACTGTGTTAAAATAATAAAGGCAGAGAAGGGAAGTGGTTTTTGGCTTCCCTTCTGCCTGTGGGAGCTCATGCATACTTTAGGCCAAATTGGCCTGTTTTATAAGATGCCTCAAAACAGGCCATAGAAGATGTGCTCCTGTGACCCACACTCATGCAGGCATCTCAGCGTTCACGTCCAACAAGTCATACACTTTAATGTTCTCCTGCTCTACAGCACTTTGCTCTGTGGCACACGTAGAATAAAATAGTCTAAATTACAAGACAGGAATACATAGCCTCACATTTCCCTCAATTTTAAGACGGTATTGGATTATTTTATTTTATTAATTTGAGGAATATATTTTATTAGTCTTGTTATAGAAACAAATTATAGACCTGCCCATGTTCTTAATGACGGGTATCTCCTAGTCGCCCTACTGCTTTTCAAATTTACATTTCAAAGAACTTTACAAAATGCTGCATTATTTCTAATTACTCTTTAGAGATACAGAAACTAACACAGAGTCACTTGCCAAGGTCAGCTATAAAGTCAGTCGCAGAGCTACTACCTCCCCTCTCCCAACTCCTGCTACAGTGACTTTCAAAGGAAGTACATATTTGATTGATGCGTGTTTCTTGCAAAGTTGAGCTGTCCCCAGGGAGTGGGAACACTCACAAAAGATGGCTATAAAAATGTACTGCATCTCTTGATGCTGAAGGGAAGTCCCATCTT